CTTCAAAAAGTTAGTAAAAAAACAAGGAACGCACAATCTTCTATCAACCGAGTTATTTACTGACATCACATTTATTATTGAATATTTAATAATTGGTTCGAAAGTATATCCACCAAAAAATACCGTTAAAAGGCCTGTGATAAAATTTACATCAACAGTTAACTTATCAATAGTTATCTAAACTTTATTAGATGGAGCTACAAGTTTAAATGGAGAAAAAGAATCACACGATTTATGAAAAAAATTGGAGCTAATAACAAAATCTTCGCAAAGAAAAAAAATAGAATGACAAATTGATAGAAATGTTTAAATAGGTACAAACCAACATAAAGTATTGATACAATAAAACCAATTTTTGCTTCTTTCAAGATCAGTTTTTTCTCGGTGTGAGTTTTGCATTTTTTCCACAGATTTTCAACTTTGATGAAAATAGCCATTGTCTAAAGTAGATTATTTGTTCAGTGAAAAAAATTGCAAAATACAGCTACAAAATTTACATCCATACCTCGCTAGCCGTATTTATGGTAGACGTATAAACTAGTATGTAACCAATAACGAAAAAACAAATATAAGATGTATCAAATACATCATCACCACTTATATTTTTGTTGATAATTCCAAATAGAAGTACGAGCACCTAAAATGAAAAATTAATATTTTAATCTATAGTGTGTACAACATTTTTTTCGCTATCCCAGCCAAAATTAACTTTTCAGACCTGCAGCCAAAACAAAAAGTAAATTTCCGCTGAGGGATTCATGGAAATTAGTATACGTATGTATGAGGCAAATAAAACTCTCAGAACACGTTTATCAGCCTTAGCGGACAATTACACGTTCTTTGAGGCTTTCCAATTTTTAAAGGTTAAATGATCATTAAATTCTATAATCACCATATTAAATACTGCAAAACCAGAAAAGCTGTATATGATAAGTCTTCCAAACAATCGTGTAATTGATTTCATTTCTGGAGAAATAAAAATCCATTGAAACAGCTTGTGACCATAATTTACAAAAGCTGATGGCGAGTAATTGTCTTCGATGACCCAAAGTTTGATATAATTTCTCATTTTTTTTCTTTTTAATGTAACTATTAGTCAAGTTCGTTGATTTCAATAGTTATAAAAATATTTCATCGAACAACGAGTTTACAGTGAATACAAAGTCCACTTACCAATTGATATAGTATCTTGCTCTTACTAATATTAAAAAATTTGAAGTAACGTTTTTTGAAGCAGAAGAGAAAATTTTATGATGTTTATTTTTAAGTTCTGATATGATTTCTTTCTAAAGTCAAAGGCTGTAGTATAAACTCAAGTATGGAAATGAATTTTTTATTGTTCTTTTGTTCATATTTAAGTTCCTAATAATTGAAATGGTCAAAATATTGATTGTTTCACAGCAATGCCTGAAGTACTTGACATCAAATTATATTTGCGCTCGTATATTTATGAAGTTGATTTTGACTCGTGGATGTAGATAACACGAATATAGATAAATTTATAAAATTATTTATTTAAATATCACGTTATTTTTCTTGTCTTCAAAAACTGTGGTGTTTTGAAAAACGTGTACAGCAGTATACACAGACTAGTCCTTATTTCCCTATTTGTTTCGATCTTCGCTACAGACGTTGATTCTGGTTTCTAGGGTGTAAAAAATGAGTAAAATACGTATATGAGCCCAAAAGGTAATACATGCCGCAATCCAAAAAACCGAATTAAATTTTCGAAAATTCTCTAAAAAATCTGAAAGTATTTTATGTGTGTTTTTTGACTAATTTTAAGACTTTTTGTCCATTGTGTTTTTTCAGTAAAAGCTTTTATCTCGAGATAGAAAATCGCAAAGTTTAAAAACGTTGTATTTATGCTTAAATTTTATTAAAAAAATTTCACATCTCGTTTTTAAACTTTGCAATTTTTTACACTGAAAGAAATTTGAGACTCTTATCTTACCGCTTGGTACCTAAATGTGCCGCGGTCTGGTGGCGGTACCGTCCAACACGGTGGTATCGTTAATCGTTTTAATCTCAACTGGGGCGGTTTCGCGCCCAAAACATAAACAAAAATCGCCCAAGTAAGATGAACAAATACGACCAAATAGGTAGGTTATAAATGGATTGAAATGAATAATACACATTTTGAAGAAGGAATGATCTATGTACTAGGCAAATTTTCGAGAGAATTTGAATTTGGTGCGATTAAGTCGATTATTAAAATAAATAAAAGTTATATGGTTTCAATGGAGGTATATGAGTTATTTTACGTTAAGTCTCCAACGGTTCACGCGAGCGGCCTTATTAAGCCAAATTGCTCAATTTGTAACTCGTCAGAAAAGCATCTAAATGAACCTGGAAAAAATATCAGCCACATGATTTCGATGGGAAATTACCTCATCTTTCTGATGGTGAGGTTGGATTTCCAATACGCGGGACGTGCGCGCGGACAAGCGGGGATAAAGAAAAACCGTGTACTCGACGCGGGACAAAAGTCCAACGGTCGTCTCTCCGAGCTCTGCGAATATAACCTCACAGGGACGGAAGTTCAACTTTCATTCCTTGCCACGTAATATACTAATTAACACGTGTATCGGATTACATATGCAAAGGCGACGCTTCACGAAGTCCCCAATGCTTAATGCCATTATTTTACTGTTTGTCGCAATGACATTACCATATGCCCTGCACCAAAAATAAGCCGTGGTCGAATTTTCGAGTCTCAAAAGAATACATTGATTTTAACGCTTGTATACTTCTTTGTGTCAAATATTTAAGCCTTCCTACGATTATATTACGTCGTGTTATTGATTTCCGGTTAGAAAGGTAACAGATCATGGAGTAAAATATCAATCTTGTAGTTTTTTTTGAAGAAAAATATTTCATTAAATCATTTCATGTTTATCAAATTTTCATTTCAAATTATAATAAAGATATAAGTCACATTCCGAAAAGTAAGGCGTATCCGTTAAAAAAAGTATAAGGCATGTCATATTTTGAGTAGAGCCTGATAATTATCAGATATTAATGGTGTTGAATGATTATTATTAATTAATAACTATAATTATATTACAAATATTTATTTTATATTTATTTAATATTTGACGACGACAAATATTTGAATTTTTATATTTATTTAAAATTTTTCCATTTAATGTTGGTTTATTAAAAAATTAATTAGTGAGTTGATAATTATCAATAATCGTTTTTTCCTTATATTATTTAAACTTTTACAATTGGCTATAGTATAACTTTTTTTTACATTTACTATTTTTACGTTCTTACATGTTCCTACGACCCCATAAACATTTCCGATGGTCCGCATCCGTTTCGGGGGGAAAAAAAATTTGTCTAGAATTTAACTCCAAAAAGGCGTTTTTTTAAAGAATTCTTCATACACGTCTATTTTCTATCATTAAAAAAATTCCCGTAATTTGCAACAATATTTATAGATAAATACGTTAATTTTAGCTCAAATCATTTCCCTCTAATAATTACTCAGTGAACCAATTGAGCTAAAGTGTTTATTGTTTGGAAAAGTCCTGAGAACATAAAAAAGTGAAAGCCTGAATATTTTTCAGTTGTACTTGAATGGGTGAGCCTGATACCATGTTACGTTAATACATGATATGTTATAATTTTATAAATTTTTTTTAACTTCATTATGCTCTAAAATATTTGTCAAGGCTTATGAGATCAAACTGACGATAACTGGCTTCATTACTATGTACTAGAAATCCCCAAAAATGTTTGGTGAAGATCTGTGAACCGCAACAAAATGTCAAGTTAGATCATGCATAGTAATATCTGAGGAATGTCATATATACTTTGATGGATTTGAACTGAACTGAACCTAGAACAAATATGAGCCACATAATTTCGATGGGAAATTACCTCAGCTTTCCGATGGTGAGATTGAATTTCCAAAAATTTTCCAAATTTTTGGAAAACTTTTAATAAAGAAGTAGAAGATTAGTGAGAAATGACAATATAAAAGAAAATTAAAAGTTACCATGTAACCATGACAATCTTACTATGTAAGAAGACTGTTTGAAAAGAGTAGAATAGTGGAAAAAAAGCATTACATCAAAAACCACTCTACTTATATCTGTTTATATAGATGTATATATCTGTATGAATATGTACATACATTAAACTGCTGCTGCTGCTGCTGCTGCTACTGCTGCGGTTGTTACATAACCTCTTTTTTTGCACTCACAAGTCACACTCGTACGTTTCAACCGTCATACTCTTGCAGACGTCGAAGCAGTAGTGCCGTTACGTTTTCGAACTTATAATCGCGCGTATTTATTAACCATTTGAAATCCTCCCTGTGACAAGGAGAATTTTTACTCATCACAAGTGAATCGGCTTCTGTTGTCTCAACAGAACTGGTTTTTCTGAGCTAATGTCAATCATTTTTCTCAGTGTATAATCAATTATTAAAATGAAAATGTTCACATTTCTTTTGTCCGTATTTTGATTCCTAATAATCAAAACAAGATGGAATCGTACCGGAGAGGATTATACTTTCATCGAATGTTTACTTTGAAAGAACGCACGTCAAATCGCGTTATTTTTCTTTTTTTCCTCGAAACATTAAATTTCCATGCAAATGTAACGTCCGATGATTGCAAAAAAAATCCACTTCAAAGCGGCGTTCGAGAAACTCCGGTAATCGCCCCTTTGCCCGTCTCCCCGACTAACCCATATTCGATGCAATTTATTCACTCTACGCTCTTATTGCGACGCGATATGCATATAGTAATAGCGTGTATGACCCCCGAGTTCTTTGCACGTGCGAATTCGTGCTCGAAGGCTTTTGAAAAAAAGTCATTCCGATTGTTGAAGAAAATAGGCCTTTTTTCCGCTTTCCAAAACAGGCTAAAAGCGAAACACGTCCGTGATTTCCACTTTATAAACAGTTTTCCTCTCTTTTCTTATAATGCAAGTTTCTCGTTCGCTTACATCCCTCTATTTTGTGTTTATGTGTTTCTCTCTCTTAGGCAACGCCTTCCTGGTGAACGTGGCGCTGGCCGATCTGCTGATATCGGGCATGGTGATCCCCGCCTCGGCCATACTCATACTGGCCGGTAACGAGGAGTCGCCCAAGGGCGTCTGCCGCTTCGAGTGGACCCTCGAGGCGCTCTGCTTCCTCGTCACGGTGCTCACCCTGGCGGCGATCGCCGTGGAAAATTATCTGAGACTCTGCTGGCCCGTCGAGAGGTGAGTATAGTAGTAGCGCATTACATAGTTTAAGCCGTAAACTTTTACCTTTATTTCTTTTACTTCTTCTTTTTTGTATTTTAAGTCAGTTTCGAAAGCTTATGGGAGGCGGGGTTCAAAGTCAGATCCGATTAAGCTTTGTATATAACTTGTTCGTGTACTAAATATTTTACACGCACAGATGCGTACGTACCAGAGAGAGAACTTTGCTTTGAATTTCAAAATTACACGTATTTATAATATAAATTTGAAATATTAACGCCAACTTCGAACGTCTGAATGACTACCGTTATGCTCTTGACATGCCACCGGGCGCGTCGGTGATATCTATCGCCTGTCTAGTATCGGAGGAGTAATACTTTCGCTCGTTGAGTTTCCGCAATACGCGCACGAGGGATAAATCCAATTAGCGTTGGCGGCGTTGTACATAGGACGAATGAATTGCGAAAATTATATAGCGTTGACGGTGGTGGTCTTGGTCGTCGTCTTGGCTTATTCATCATACCGTAAATTATAAGTACGGTATAGTCGTATCTCACTCTCTGAAGTGCTGTGGCAAGCCAAGTGCAGCTGCACATTCAATACCCAATCCGCCCGATTCATTAGGTATTTGATGATATGTTTCGAGAGAGATCGATCGAAACTCGGAGCGAGCGACGAATGTATAGTCACGCAGAGAGAGAGAGAGAGAGAGACGTCGGGGGGAGGGCTTATATACAGAGACGGAGAGAGACGTCGGTATACCTACCCCCGCCTATGAAGAATTATGCTAATTCTATTACCTCGAGCGAAGGCATGGCAGAGAGAGCTTAGGGCTAATAATCTTGAAGTTGTACGCGCTCTTGCGAAAACATACTCTTTTATGTGTCTCTCTCGCGTGCGCGGGAAAAAGAAAGTTCAAATACCTGACTCAGCGACGAATTAGCATTTCAATTTTTACCCTCCTGCAATCCCCCACCCATCGCTCTATCTTTCTCTTCTCTTTCTCCCATCTTTCATTCTTTTCGTAATTTCGCGTTCCTTTTTTTTATAGATATATATATACGTCTATATACACACGGAGTCGTAAAGTCAACGGCAATATATCTTCGCTTGGTCTGGTCGTCGCTCAGAGTTTGCAGAAATTTCTGAAAACTGTTGATATAGTTCGGTGCGCGAGGAAAAATTTCCACACACACACACACATATCTCCGTGGAAAATTGCGACGACGTTAGCGCAAAAAGAGAGAGAGAGAGAGAATATATGTACGATAAATGCTTAACTCGGCTACACGAAATTAACATACAAAGATCCTTGATACGTAATACGGTACGTCGTCGCCGAGGCCATTAAAAATGATTTACAGAAAAATTGACAATTATATCTCAACTTCTTTTTGCGAGCAGTCGTCCAAGGATCGTTCGTTTCGTCGTCCTCGTCGTCTTTCGAATCACGAAAGTAGTAGTAGTAAAAAAAAAAAATTGAAAAGCAGAGCTCTTGTAGATTACGTGGGCTCTGAGAGAGTGGAAGCCAGCAGCAGCAGCACATTTTTCAGATGAAATATTTTTTCGTAATATCAGCACTACTACCACTACTCGCTATTTTGAGGAGGAAGAAGAAGAAGCCTGGGACAGGGATCTCGACCTTGTACCACGCTACTACGCGGGCAAAGGGCCTCGAGAGTTGCTGCTGCCGCTTTCGGCTGGATATACATTCTTCCTTCGCAGTAGCAGCGAAGCTTTTCGTCGAGCAAATTTACCCAAGGTTCCATTAATTAAGGGAAAAATCCACGATAGGATATTCATGCGGGAGAGGCAAGCGCGCGCGCGGCACTCGTCGTCGTATACCTAAGAAGGACAAACGAGAACGAGACGCGGCGTATATATTGATTCAACTTTCTCAAACATATATATCTGCTGCTGCTACGCTGTGGCAGCTCTCCTTGAATTCCCTACGTACGCGTGTGCAATTAATCTAATAAATACTGGAGCCTTTCTCGCGAGCTTACATTAATAATTAATTAGCATTTTAATATCTAATAACGATATATCGAAGCGCAATAATTAAGCCCTACGCCGATGTATGTAATAATATTCCACTATTAAAGTATCAGCCCCTTTGAAGACAGCTCTGTGCTCACTGCAAGCTCGCTCGAGCAGCAGCAATTGCGCGCGCGCTTTTTGTACACGTTATATACGTAAGCTCTCTCTCTCTCTCTCCCTCCGAGATACATAAGTCCAATTTTCCGATATAGTAAAGAGGCAAAAGAGCTGCTGCTGCTGCGAGCTGAGGACCGCGGGGGTTGAAAAATTAAAGGAAGAAAAAAAGCAGAGCTTTACAGAGAGAGAGAGAGAGAGAGAGACAGACGAGGAGAGCTTGAGCTTGCACAGAGAGACTGGTGCGCGTCTGGGTCGAAGCTGCAGCTCCCCCAGCAGCTTTTTTCGCAGATGAAAGGATTTTCCCATTAAACGAACGGTCAGTCACAGACAAGCGCATTGTACGTAGCAGAAGCAGCAGTAGCAGCAGCAGCCCAGGAGCCGTAGAGGCGAGAGCGAGCGAGGAACAAAACGTGTCGTGAATATTAGCAGCGACGAGCTGTCTGCCTCCTTGCCACGCTCTACTCCCTATATACCAGCTCGTGTCGAATGGATGAGGCGCTTCTGCAAGAACGTCACGAGCGTCCTGAGAATTTCACAGAAACGTCGGCATTATAAAATTGCGAAGAGAAGGATGGAGATTAATAATTATACGAACGATTGACGTCGATGCTGCAGCAAATAGATGAAGAGATATCGAGCTTCCGATAATTTTTTTAATGATCGTCATACGCTCGTATTTATATGATCGGCTCGTATCGTGGATTTAAAAAAGTATCTATGTACGCTCGAGCAGCACACGTCACGTAAAAAATTAATCGCGCGCCACGATCGGACGAAGCCAACGAATCTCTCTCTCTCTTTTTTCATTTCTTTTTTTTTTATTACAGGCATACCTCGTTATACGCGAGGGTTACGTTCCGGAAAAGTTCCACGTATAGCGAAATCCGCATATAATGAGAGAAAAAGCGATTCTTTAAAAGAGAATTTTTATTTTATATAAATATATCAATATAAAAATCTACAGAGTTCGAATAGTCAACTAATTGACCTCGAAGCGCGTAGCAATAGCAGGAGTAACGTGAACTTATCCGCGTATAACGAGACATCGTCGCATTTGACAATCCGCGTATAAGGGTAAACCGCGTATAAGGAGGTATGCCTTATTTTTATCCGCGTCCCTCTACATTGTGCGTCAATCTATCGTACTACGCCGTGGCTATCGTGTGCATTTAATCGGATTAGTAGGGAAAATTTCGAGTTTGCGATCTCCTGGATCTAATTAATCTCTCTCTCTCTCTCTCTCTATACATCGCACATCGCGTATACGAGCTTTTTTGGCAAAGTTCCGTGTGCTCCGTGTGTCCGAGGGGCGCGATATACTAAAAACTGGCTCTTTTTCTCTTTAGCATGGCATTCGTGAATCTCACTGTGTAATTTTTATTAAAAAAATAGTGAAAAGCCTTTATACTAATTATCAAAACGAACACTCCTAGCACATCACCTAATTCTAGCCCGCTCGTATACACTTTCTTTATAATCCAAGGTGCATAAATACATAATATAAAGAGGGCATATACGGGTTCCAGCGCTGGCATACGGGTGCAAATCTCGTCTCCTGCTAGACTCTCTCGCGAAGTTGGTTCGTTTAAGCGGAAAGCCGCAGAATTGCTGCTGCTGCTGCTGCTGCTGCCACGCGCCCGGGTTACACGAGTAGAGTATAGAGGTAAGAGTAAGTAAGTAAGAGGAAGAAGTAATAAGAAGAAGCTCTGCAAATGCATACATAGCACTTCTCTTGTGCGCGGTACGTCGTGGCGCGGCGCAAATCTCCTCTGCGAGCTCTCGCCGCTGCTGCGCGAGTAATTAATCGAGAGAGAGTGCATGCATAAGGTATACGCGCATCCGGACCCTGCCCTCCTCCCCTTTGGGGGGTTCTTCGGCTCCCGCATGAGCTGCACACACCAACGCGCAACTCGCACGTACTCATACGTACGCGCATGTGTGTATATACAGTAGTAGTAAAGCCACCTTCTCGCGTTCCTTGGTTGATTGAAACGGTTGCAAGCTCGCAAGCTTTCTCTCTCTCTCTCTCTCTTCGGCTTCGCCTTCTCTCTGCCAACGCGCGGGGTATAGAGAGAAAGCTCTTAGCAGCTCTCCTGGCACAGCAGCAGCAGCAGAAGCAATAGTCTATACACGATCGCTCCTATTACAGCTGCACATGTTATAGCAGCAGCAGCAGCAACCCGAAGAGCTTTCATTTAAACTTTAGCCCTAAAGTAGTTTGGCCGCGCTCTTGAGAGAACCCCTTCCTGCCCCCCCTCACAACCTTATGCTATAGTCCCCTGCACACGTCGAATAGGTAGCTGCTGCTGCTTGGCTTGGCTTGGCCGGGATAAACCCCGCAAAAGCGTGGAGCTGGGTGCTGGGCGCGGAAGGAAGGCCTTTGATTCCGAAGACTCTCTCTCTCTCTCTCTAGTTGCTTAGAAGCGTCATGTGTATAGGAGTAGAGCAGACTGTGCTGCGGACTTCCTTCAATCTCAAGTTTTGACCACTGCTGCCGCTTGTGTGCAGCTGGGCTGTGCCGTGTGTGTTATGGGGCTTGCCAACGTCGCCAACGAGAGTAGCCTTTACTATGCGCAGCAGCGCGGCAGGGGCTATTGTGTCTTTGTTATATTGATTTGTCTCGCGGGGGTTACCACAATATACAGAGAGGGTTGTATACACACGGACACATACACACACACACACGGACGTATAACGTGGAGCTAACGTCACTTCGCTCGCGAGTATTTATTAGATCAAGTTGTAGCTAGCTACTACTACTACTACTCGAGAGAGAGAGAGAGAGAGAGAGAGAACTCCGTCGAGGTATAGCAGCAGCTAACGCAACGGCAATTAAACAACTTTAACACATATGAACGTTTTCAATTAAGCAAACTTGCAGCGCTCCTTACTTATATGTCTGGAAGTCGTCGTCCCGTGCTGTGCTGCACGTGTGTATATATGACACGCACGCGAAGGTATAATATAAGGTTTACAAGGGCACATAACGAGACCGACGTCGCCGGAGGGTGTAAGGCGAGAGGCGGGGGGGACAAAGCGCAATCCGTTAGACTGACGGATGAGCTTTTGCCGAAGTATTTAGCGCGACGACGACGACGACGGCAGCGGCAGCGACGTCTTCTTGCCTATACAGCGATCGCACGCATGAATAAACTTAGCCCGCCGCGTCGCGTGCGTGGCGCGGCGATGTTGAAAATTTCCGCTAGTTACGAGTACAAACTTATAACGGTAACGTGCCCGTAACGAGCTTGAAATTAATCGCGAGTTACCCGCGCGCTGATCGAGGAGCGCGCGCTCGATCGCGCTCCGTCTGCGGCAAGTATATATATAGGTATGGCTTTTTTGAATTCGATAACGGATATCTTAATCCTGAAGAGTGTTATGGATTTTTGAATCAAAGTGCAATCGAATAGAGTATAATAACGTCTCCGAAAAAGTTTATAACTCCGGAGTATGAGCGGTTGCCGAAAAATCTTGATTTTTCTATGGATACGAAGCGGGGGACTCTAAAAGTTTTAGAATCAAGTCTAAATATCAATAATGCAAATGAAAATTATACTTTAGAATGACACGTCAAAAATTTACGTTCTTTTGATCTCAATTTCGACCAGTAGGTGTAAAACGATTTACTCAAGTACATGTTTAATTTCCAACTGCTAGTTTTAAAATTAATGAAATAAACTTTGAAAATCAAAAATGCAATTATAGAGTTACTCGATGACGAAGAAATTTTTACTTTTGCTCGACACATGAAAAGTTTTTATGCTAAAGATCAGAAATTTTTCTATAGAGTTTGTTAAACAAATATAAGTCATGGCTTTGAATGCATTGAAAATTTTTATTGATTGCACGACGAGTGACATTATCAAATAAAATTATTACTTCACTTTTCACAATATGTACTTGAACAATACTTACCATAAATGTTAACAATCATATACTGAATTATTAAATTATTCTACTTCAGACTTTTTAGTCTTGTTATAGCTTGAAAAGGGAAAATTTCAGTTTGCCCGAATACTGTATGCATATTCTATATGTACAGATACAACATCGTGGCGACGACGGGCCGCGTCACGGGCGCCGTCATCTTCATCTGGATCCTCGCCACGGTCTCGGTCGGGCTCCAGTCCTACTTCGACCTGGGGCCGAATCTCTGCAACATCGACTGGCGCAAGCCCTACACCCAGACGACCAACACGACGGGCATCGTGAGCGCCACGGCCATCGTCGCCGCCCCCATGCTCTTCACCGTCTGCATCTATCTGCGACTGCTGGTGGGCGTGCGGGGCGCCCAGCGCGGCTCCTACAAGCCGCCCGTCGCCTTCAACTGGGACTACGAGCTGACCAAGGCCAACTTGTGGAGCTTCTTCTTCTTCGGCGTGTTCTGGCTGCCGTTCGCCGTCACCTTTTGCATCAGCGTCGTGAGTATAGTACCGCGTTGCGAAAGAAAAAATAATGATGGCCCTGTAATGACTGAAAAATGATGGTTAAAGAGGTTTTAAAATATATTAAAGTTAATTGGCTTGTTTTTGGCAAGTTTCCTGATATAATTGTTTCAAAGACCGACAATACTAATTTAAGAATCGACCAATAGATGGCGAGTACCTGAATATCTGTAAATCTGCTAGTGATGAAGTCAAAATATTTGTATAATTCAAGTCACGGGTTTAAAAGCATGTTCAAGTTTCGGTTTTAAATTCGGATGAAAATAATGGGAACCACATCGTTTATTATTTTGATTTCAACTTGAATAGTTTTTCATCACAAATGATAACGTTGATCGTAAATTGAAAGGTATTAATACAAAAAAAAAAATTTTTTTTCAATAAACTTCATGGAAAAATTAATGTGAAATTCATGTATATTACCTACATTTTTACTAAACTTTATTTTCAATGTCACTCATGTGGATTCGCTGAAACTTCGTGTTTTTCATTCATTTTCATCATACTAAATTTTCATAAAAATTATCCCTAAATTTAGAATAATGGGTCATATTGTAAATAATATTGATCAACCTTCATTAAAAATACATTCGATTTCAAGCAATTTTCAACAGATATTGAGTCATATTCAAAGTACTGATACATGAAGTCTTCGTTGAAAAATTAATGCATCGATATTAAATTATTTTTCATCATGAACATTATTTTTAATGTAAAAATGAACAAAAAGAACTTAATTCTATTCTAAAATTTTAACATTTTGTTTGAAAATTAAATTTTAATGCAGATTATTTTGTTGAATTACTTGCTCAAAAATATTTATGAAAATTCAATTATCATTAATACAAACTTCCACCGCCAGATGGCGACTTACCTATATCTGTAAATCTGCAAGTGGTAAAGCAAAATGAATTAAGCATTAGGTTTTTGAAAATGTCAGTCCACAAAATGAAATGTATCCATTCGAAGGAAAGACACCTTTTCTAATTACCCTTCCTCCATTGCACGAGTAAACAGGTACGACCGGTGAGCCCCCGTCTCGTCATCTACCTCGCCTGGTTCGCCCTGTCCAAGTCCTGCTTCAACAATCTGCTCTACTGCATCGCCGACCGTCACTTTCGCAGCGCCTACGTCAAGCTCTTCCACTACTGCTGCTGCAAGACGACCGTGAGCTTCTCGCGGCGTCAACGGGGCGGCGGGGGCGGCGGAGGCGACGGTTCGGGACCCGGGGGTCGTGGCTCGGGCGACGTCCGACTGCGCGTGCACATCATACACTCGTACACGAGCGGCGCGGCCTGTCGCATGCCGGCCCAGACCACCGGCCGGTCCAACGGAGGCCGCGACGTCTACGAGTTGTAGGATTACGGACAGTACGCCAATCGAGGCTTTCAGATGGGTGGATACGATATGCTCTAAGTAAAAAGTAAGGAGGGAAATTGTACGAGGCCTCGAGGCGGCGTTGTTTTCTTCGGAATGCAGCGAGATGCGTGGAGACGTATAACGATCTTTGTAAATATAATACTCGACTCAGCTTCCCCCTGATCACACACACACACACACTTATACAGTCACACACAGCAAAAAATGAACGAAAAAAATCAAAAGGTATTTATAATACTCGAACGCCTTAAATGAGATTCGAATTGACACTCAAGGGCGCGATAAATACACGAACACGCAAAACTTTCAACAAAAACAAAAAAATTCAAAGACTTTAAATATGATACAAATGAATGTGCGGAATTCTAGATATCTGCATGATTCAAAGTCCAACTGTTTTAGCTAAAAAAAAAATACTGAACAAAAGAGAAAAAAAATCAAACGAAAAAAAAAACAAACTACGAGAGTGAAAACTCGCGACTTATACCGTTAACTATATAAAACAAAAAAAAATTATATATATCATATTATATGTATAAAAGGTGCTTGTACTCATAATTTTACAATTCCACATTTTTACGATGTCTATTATATGATATAATGCGGTACGACCCTTGCCGTACTACTCAAGCTAATGCGATATTTTTTATTCCAACGAAAGATGAATATTTTTTAAATAGAAAAAAAAGGATGCAGTAAAGAGAGAAAGGCACATAATGCTCAAATACACGCGGGTCACGCGGATGTTACAAAATATATTTTGGATGTTACAGTATATTTATTCGGAAAATTTACAAGACTTTTGTAAAGCGCGTCTGTACATTTACAATTTTATTAATTAGTTACCTCGAGACACGCGTTTGAAGGTTTGAAAAGGAGGTTGGCTTCATTCCCATATTACATACCCTTTAAGATCGTTTACTTAAATACAGATATAGATATATAATATATAATATATATTTTTAGCCTTCGTGCACCCGAATGCGGGCTGTCTCTCTCATCTCGTTTTCTTCCCAAAGATGTCTTTTTAATGTACTAACTATTTTCCGCGCGACACACGAGTCAGAGTGAGAGAGAAAAGCACAGCTCAAAGAGAGTTAACTTCATAAAAGTAGATCATTCTTCATGCCTGTCTATATAACAAAAGACTCATAAATTCTGCGCGCGCGTCGTGTAACAAACTTCGGGGCTCTGTGTATAGCTCAAACTTTATCACTTAGAGAAAAATTACTAAAGAAAAGTAAGCCACCTTTCGGGGTGCAGGCGGCCCGGCGAAGTTCGTGAATCTGCAGCTTTTAATTCATGACTTTTGCCCCTTTTCTCCCTTTTACGAGGCGTGCCCCGTTAGGTAGAGAAAAAAAATTAAGGGCAAAACAATCTAGGCGACTATTTGTTTCAGAATAACAAATGGAAATGAGTTAATTGGGAAATCAATTTTTTTTCTCTTTTTTTTTTTTTTTGCTTCAACTTCGGGAACTCGAGCAATGAATGACGAGACCCGTTAAAACTAGCTGCCCAGCCGCGTCGTTAATCAATTCGTGCTCGCGCATTATATCGATCGCTCCTATGTAAGGTCGAGTTGAATGGAGAAATCCCTTCGTGTTACCGGATGAATTTTCCGTCTGCTGCGCGCGTATATAAATCGAGGGTGTAGTTGAAAAAAAAAAAAAAATTTTATACTGTGCAAGGTAAACTTTTTTCGTACAAGAGAGAGACTCTTTTGCTGAGAAGCGAGCAGCAATGCTCAATGCGGTGGGTCGTGAGAAGAAGAAAACGAACGACGACTACGATGCGTGTACACTTCGCGTTTATATATTATATAAATGCATTGGGTAAACGACTAGGTACTACCACTACTGTATTTTTTTTACTTTTTTTTTTGCCTCGGTTCATCTTTACACCGAAGCTTGTGCTTGCTGCAATGTGATTGAGCTGTAATTACTTGACCAGAGAACCCAATTGCTAAACGAACTTTTCAGATTGAAAAACTGATTGGTTTTTCCTTTTTCAATGCCGCCCGGGTAAACTTCTCGAGTTTTGAGCGCGATTACTGCCGCCCGCGTTTTTCCCATCAGCATTTTATCTGTATATACTGTACGTTCCACAGATAGAAAGAACGTGTCGCTGGGGTGGGGCGAAAGTCAAACGAAAGCGAAACAAAAGGATATCGAGTAAAAAATAGAATTAATTAAAAAAGATAATGTCATTCCTTGCGCGAGAGCGAGGCGAGGGTTTATTAAAGTTCGAGATGAATGCACGGAAATTCCATAGATGAGCTGCATTATATTCAGTGCGCAAACGTTTTAATTTTTCATTCGAATTAAAACTGATGGATATTGCGCGTGCCTCGCAGCTCGGATATGTCAAAAGTCGCTTACAAAATAATGAGTTTCGTATCACTGGGCGCCGCCGCCGCTGCAGCAGGTGCTGCACTTCCTCCTTTTTTTTTATTTTCGCATATTACTTCGTCTGCATTTTTTAGCTCTCTCGTATCCTCTCTCATTTTTGGGCAACTTGCCAAATTGCAATTAATGTACCCTTTGCTTTTGGGGAGGAAGGATTATCTCTTGCTTTCGTTAGCATTATAGGGCGGCGAGAGTAAAGTGACATTAATGAAAGCGAGTGTATGTATACGGAAAATCGGATTTACATTCTTTTTCTTTCATACTCGCGTATATAATTGAAAAATCATCATTTTTGACCGACGAGCTAGCCAGAGCTACGCGGATTCGAATGAAATTCTTCTCGAGCTCCGATAACGACGGCTTAATTTACTCGTAATATAACATTCGTTTATTTTAAATCTCGCAGGCCGTTTTACTCGTCGCGTTATAGAGAAAAAGCAAATTAAAATTGAATGTAAAGCCTTTACCTCCTTTTTTGCAAAAATAATTATTTTACATGATGAAAGTTTCCAAATAAATGTTGAGGTCACCCATGCTAGTGGCCTCGGAGAAATACGCAGAGGAAAGAGAGGTTGTCATTGAAATATTAATCAATTTAATGTATTTTTTAATATTTCGACAGTAAAAAATTCTTTTTGCGTGGATTATTTTTACATTAATAATATTACTTTAGTGCATTATATTTCGTAATTAAAATTCATGAAAAAATATTCATAATTTAAAAATATCTTGATTTCTGACAGAGTCGAAACCTCAAAAGTGACGTGCATATTTATCATACTAATGCACAAAGCTTGGTCCTAAGAAAGTGGATATTCGTATTGATTGCATGGCTTATCTATTCATGTACTCTTTTGTCTCGTGTACAGTTTCTTTCCGAATATTTTCTCTAATATAATAAAAGTTCGTAAAGTAAAAGATGAGGAAAAGTTATATTCATCTTTCAGTGGGCTATTGTTGTCCTGAATAAACGTGTTTACAGTGTTGCATGCAACAAGTATGTACGAAAGTAAAATTCGATATTTATTTTTAATTTACACATCATTGATTAAAAACATGTTGACGATCTATTTATGATCTAAATGAATTTTATAACTTACATCTTATGTACAATTTTTTCTGAACGAAGACTACAATGAGAAAGTAATCTTTTTCTGAAAAAATAATAGTTGGAAGAAAATATTTCTTATATTGAACTTTTTAAAAATTATTATTGACGTTGAATGTTAAAATAATTTATAAAATTTAGGTATACTTTATCTTTGATATATAATATATTCGTGTTGCTTACTTCTTGAGGAACCGATGAAAAATCAAAATGTGAATACTGCGTTTCGTTGTCACGAAACTGAATCTAACCGTCTAAAAATGCATAGAGAAGAATGAAAAAAATTAATGGCATTGTCATTATTAATATGTTACTCATTACTTATCGCACAATATCGGGATATTGTACGTAGAGATCTTCAAAGAAAAAAAATATTCATATAATGAAATTATGTTATGACGGAATTATTCGAGTACACTCTAATTGACGTGTACACTCTAAATATAACGTTACGCTAGAATAGCAATAACGTTATGTCTACTGTAATATATAAATAACAAAACTAAACTAAGCATGTAATGTTAAAGAAAGAGAAAATACAAGAAAATATGATGAACAAATATTTTACTCAGAACGCCTTCTGTCAAACTGTGATTATAGACTCCGAGAATTATTAAAAAAAAAAAAAAAAAACTACTTGTCATCTGGGACGTCATCCAAATTACATTGAAATAATAAAAGCTCATCGGATATTATACCAATACTTTGCATTCGGCAAATCTTTTTTCAATTTTTCAATGAATAAAATTGCAAAAAAATAAGAAATGATTGATTGGCAAAAATCATTATCGAACCAGAACTGAAAACTGAAAGTTTCATTAAATATTATTACTTTGTACTATCTCTTTTGACGAGAAAAATTACGATAATGTTGTGTGCACTTTACTTCGCCAAATGTATGTTATTATGAATAAGGATCTAGCCTACATGTATAAGCACAAATATGTACTACGTATTACTAAAATGATGGTTATTATGCATTATGTTAATTGAAAACTACATAATCAGTGTAACGCGCATATATGATGAGTCATATCCAGCTCCCTCGACAATATCGCTAAAAATTATTTTCCAATGAATTTATCAAAATTGTTAATCAGATCCCATCCAAACAGATATTGTATTTAATTACAGAGATTTAATTACAAATTATCTGGCCCGAAAATTGAAAAAAAATTTTTCACTTTAATTATTCAAAATTGTCTTCTGGTGCAAGATCAAAAAAATTGATTATTGTTGTGTACGTTAATGAGTCAGAGGCTGATTTATAATCATATACAACGCGAAGTATTTTATGTAAACACTTACATCGATGGGACCACTAAGCTAAAACTGTCAAAAACTGCATAGTTGACTTATACTCCTTGAATTCCGGTACAAAATCATTCCAATGTGTGTAAATATATACTCTTGAGAGTCCAGAAATTTCGATGCATCGTTATAAAAATAATTTGATCAGAGATATTTGATTATGTTCAACGACAGTGTTTTGTAAACTCATATGTAAAAATGAACGAGATTGTTTTAGAATTTAATTGTGATAACTCAACTATGAATACAAATGAGAGATTCTATTTGTAATTGAGGACAGTTACAAAAGTAAAAATCATTTACAAAATATTTGTACAAAAATAATGGAATTAATATACTTTTTAATATTTACAAAATGTTTTATCGAATTGTTAGTTTTAATTTTTACAACAAACGATTGAAAAAGATAGCTTCATAACTTAATTTAAAAAATGAATGTTACGATTATTTATTACACTCGATATTTGTAAGAAATAAAAATATTTTTTACTTGTATTATTTAGTAAAGTACTGTCCTCTCTTCGAAATAATTTGAGAATTTGTTAATTTTTATTTTAGATAGTTGAATTTTGATTGTCGAATGATTAGCGTAGTTGTAGAACATAAACACCTATAAGTAGTTATAGTACGTAGAGTAGAAAATTAAATGATACGCTAATGTATGAACTTGTAAATAATTATGATACTTGACTCTGTAGCTTATCAGTAACTATACTATATATTAAGAAAATTTATGTAATAAGTTGGTAGTATGTTACTATGTCCGTGTAGGAATTAATGTATAGATAAAAAAATGATGAAAAAACTATAATAGCTTTTGAAAATCTGTGTGCTCTGCTATTACAAGCATAGCGAATATCAAATAAAACCGGCATTTAACTTTTCTTTTAAACTTTGATGAAAATTTATGCTGAATCCATTAACGATCAGTTCGAAAACATCATAAAACTTCGAGGACCATAAATTACAATAAAATATGGTTGATCCGCGCCGTTAAAAAGAATATAAAAATGTTTAAAATTTCAAAGAAAATCTCACACTTATCTTTCGATGTGCATTGAAATGTTTTGAATTTATAACTCGTAAATGATGTTTAAAAATAAAATAATTTTTGAAAAGTGGAAATAAAAAAAAAAGAAGAGAAAAAAAATGCATATGTTATTGTATTCGATTGCATTCAATACAATTTTTTTATAATATTAAAAGAAAACGTTGCGTACAAAAAAATAAACTTGAAACAACATTTTTTTGAGACTGATGTTAAATAAAATGTTAACTATGTGTGTATCCTCTAAAGAACCGACCTCTTCATCAAAACCCTTCACTATTTATACATGGAAAATATTAATGAAAATTATATCGATTCTACCATATTAAATGTGTGCAAGCATACAAAAAACATATTTAAAAGTATAAAATATATATTGCTAAATGATATACCCGTAATATGGAATTCAATGGATGTCATTTATTTTGAATTAAATGTATACACACTTTCCACCAGTCGCAATTTTCAAGCGAAACAAAAATTGATAAAATTATAACCAAACATTAAAATGTAATAAATCATATATCTATATCAATATCGCATAAAATCAAATTAAATAAAAAATAAAAAAATAATGAAACTATTCAAAGAAAAAAATTATAAATATAATATAAGAATTGACGGATTTAAAAAAGTTTGTTAAATGTTTTTGGTTTTCGTGGCCAACTATTTTCCCATTAAATAAAATCGATATTCATGAAGCTTCGGTGTTGATGAATTTATGCTTTATTCGCCAGAATGCGCAATGAAATAGGATTTCTTTTACAAAGTAGCTAGAAGATTATGTCGAGAAAATTCTTGAAGTAAGATGAAAAGTTAAAACCAGCTGAAAATTAAAAATCCACCGATCCGTCTGGCTGTAGAAAATTTGAATCAAAACTAAACTTAAGTAATAGATGTTTGATAAACTTATCGGAATTTTAAAGTTAAAACTAAAGTCAGAGTCCTAAGCCGGTGAGAATTATATAACTATGTATATCGAAATACTGGAATTATGCAATTGAAGTGAGAAACAAAAATTGAAAAAAACGAAGTAAAAGTTAGAAAACCGCGATCTTTAATAAATGTATAACTTTATAAATGTAAAAGTACGATTTGTATCGCTTTGCGAGCTCACGATAAACATATACTATATATTTTAATTGTGAATCGAGGCGTATCAACAATGGATTTTATATAATGTTGTAATAAAAATATTTCTCTTTGTATTCGTTTTTGGGTAGTTTTTTTTTTGATTTATCAAAGTAAATTAGGATAGATTAGTAAATTAGTGCTAAATTTTTTTCTTTAATCACCTTATTTTTAAATATGTATTCCTTTGTTTTATTTCATTTCATTTTTATATTAATATTTGGTAACTAATACCATTATATCATTTCTATCTTTATGCATGAATACTCGGACGACTATCATACAATAGATATAATAATTTCGCCTCATAATTCATTTTATAATTTCTTTGGTATAATTTGAAATTTTAAGAAGAAAAATTTTTCCTTAATATATCGTTATTAACACTATCATTTTTAAAAATTGATATATTTAAATTTGGCGGTCGCGCTCAAGTTGCCGGCGACCAACGCTTCAAGCCGCAGCAGTAGTCAAAAACATAGCCATGATGATCTGATTATTAGCGTCTAGCGACCACCACCGGAAAAAGTAGAAAGAGAAGTGGAAGACCATGTGCTCGGCCCTTTTTTGTTGATTATATCGCTAAAAAATTAGTCTCACGTTTTACCTGTTGTGACAGTGCATTAAAATTGTTTACCGAAGGCAACATCTAAAGTAGAAGCAGTTGTTTTTTATTACTACCTGTCGTACTCAAACAACGTACGAAACATGGGCTATAAAAGTAAGGTTAAGAAGGCAAGAATTGTCGTCAGAAATTTGCCTTTCAGTGTCACCGATGAGCAAATAAAAGAAAGATTTAGTCAATATGGTGGAAGAATTTATGAGCTCAATCGTTTATCCAAAAATGGCAAACCCACCGGCTGCTGTTTTATTCAGTTCGACGCTGTAAATGTGGCTGCAAAAGCCATACGCCATGAAAACGATTCGTTATTTGTAAACAGAAAAATTATTGTGGATTGGGCAGTACCCAAAAATAAATTCCAGCAGCCAGAAGTAAAAAAAGAGGATGAGACAAACGAAGATTGTAAACCAGATATTAGTATTATTGATGTTGAGTCCCAGGAACAAAAAGATGATGACAGTGTAACTGATGTAAAAGTGAATGATTTTAAATCTCATAAACAAGACAATGAAGACAGTGACGAAGACAGTGATGAAGATGTAAAACCAAATGACATTAAATCTGAAGATTCTGATGACGATGATGATAATGAAGAAGAAGACAGTGAAACAGACGTTAAAGTTAAAGATGAAGAACCTCAACAACCACGACAACTGTCAAATGATGTAAATGAAGGTAGAACAGTTTTCTTAAGAAATGTTCCTTTCCAAGCAACAAATGAAGATCTTAAAAATTGTATGAGTCAATTTGGACCTGTTGTGTATGCTGTAAGGTGCATCGATGAGTTAACTGAACATCCTAAAGGAACAGCATTTGTTAAGTTTGTGGTATGTATTTGAAGTCAATAGATTACTTTATACGATAAATATAATACTATTTACTATAAATGACATTATTCTTAGAATCCTGAGGATGCTGAAAAATGTTTATCCGCTGGTACTGAGTTGACTCTCAGGGGACAAATCCTTGATCCTCATAAAGCACTGAGTAAAGAGGAAGTGAAAGAAAAAAGTCAGGAAAAGAAACAAAAAAAGACAAAAGATTCAAGAAATCTCTACTTGGTCAAAGAAGGAGGTACATAAGAAATCTTTTTTGAAGTTTCTTATAATTCATGAATTTGAAAATATTTATTTATCTTACATTACTTTTTTGCAGTTATTCTTGCCTCATTACCTGCTGCAAAAGAAGTTTCAGCACAAGACATGGAAAAACGATTAGCACTGGAAAAATGGAAGTCTCAAATGCTTCGTAACCTTGCAATGTTTGTTTCACGAAATCGTCTTGTTTGTCATAATTTACCTCCATCATGTGATGATAAAGCTTTGCGACAGATATTTCTTAAATATGGTGGTCCACAAGCTTGTATTACGGAGGCTAAAGTAATGAGAGACCTGAGAAATCTTGATGATAAGGGTAATGCTAAATCGAAAGAGCATGGATTCATCACATTCACACGCCATGAAGATGCTCTCAGAGCGCTGAGAGCCATTAACAATAATCCCAGTATTTTTACACGTCAAAGGGTTAGTATTACAGAATTAAAAATCTTTAATGATAAAAGCCTTATATGTAATATGACTTATCATTAATTAATGCTTATTTTTACGAAAAAATAATCCTTTATCAATGTGTAATTTTCAGCGACCAATTGTATCTTTTTCAATCGAAAATCGTGCAATGATTAATGCCAGAGCCAATCGATTGGAAAAAAGTAAATTGAATAACCCAAATGCGAATAAAAGAGCAAATAGCGACAAAACTTCAGATGCTGAACCAGACAAAAAAAGACAGAGGTTTGATAAAAAATCAAAAATGAATCATGATGGAACCATGTCAAAACAGTTTGCTGGTACTGAAAGCAAACCTGGGTCAAAAGCACATATGGGCAAATTTTTCTTACGAAAACAAGCAAAGATACATAACGAAAACATAAAAGAAAAGAAAAAGCAAATAAAATCAAAAAAGCAATTAACTGAAAAGATACGCGATCAAGCTGCAAAAAGACGAGATCCAAAGGTATTTATTTCAAACATACTTTTTGTTAAACATAATATAATTGCATCATTTTAATGTTGATATTTTTTGTGTTTCAGCCAAAGCAGGGTGCCAAAAAGGACAAAGACGAGATGAACTTTAATAAAATAGTAAACAAATATAAAAATCAATTAGCAACAGCACAGTCGCAGGAGAAACGCTCAAAATGGTACGAGTCAAAGTGATTTTGACTAGTTTCATGTTGTTCAGTTTTACTTTTGTAAATACTGTACATATTATTTGTTTGTATTAACTTTCTAAGCAATTTCCTGAAGGATAGTTTTTAATAAAAGTTTGTTACAATAAAAATTTTGTGTATTAAGACTTACACCTAATTCACTCTGTCCTCACAATAAATTATGTTGTATCTTTCTTATTTTATGTTACATCAATCAAAAAAATACATTGGCCAAGTTTCTAAAAAGTCTATCATTTATCAAAAAAATTCAGTTGGATTAAACATCAATTTTTTTTATGTTAAAAGCTATAAAAAATAAATAAAATTAGCCTGAGTATTTTTCATTTGTTCGATTTGAAAATATTATTAAAAGGTATCTACAAAGGGGCTTTTAATACGGGGTGGTACATTATCACTCATTCCGAAGCTTAATAAATACGTTATTATGCCGGCAGTCTACTCCATGCTGCTGCATAGTGTTTACAATTGTAGAACCGCTCATTAAAGGGCCGAGACGATTACATGCTACATTCTAACCGAAAAATTGTTTACATTCATTTGACACTCGTCAAATTTTAATTTTCACCGATAATATTGAATTAAAGGTAAGAAAATACGTTATAACCTGAATATCTTATTAACGATTATGATATAACTTTTCAAAATAAAATTTGTTTATGAAAAAATCATTAATCAAACATTTTTATTATGTAAATCTGAATTATATCACTTGAAAATTTAATTTTTACAGGACAAAATGGACAATTTTCCAAGACTGCATCCAGTAAATAAAGATGCTCGTCCAGCTTGTAAAAAATGTGGATATCCTGGACACCTTACTTTTCAGTGTAGGAACTTCGTCAAAGTCGACCCAAACAAGGATGTTGTTTTAGATGTAAGCAGTACCAGTTCAGAGAGTGACGATGATTATATCACTCCCCTCATTGAGTTGAGAGAGCAGGAATTAAAAGAGAGCTTGGAAAAATCCAAAGAAAAAGAAAAGAGTAAAAAGGATAAGAAGAAAAAGAAAAGAAAGAAGCATAAAAAAAGTGAACGGCGCAATGATTCAGACACAGATAGTTCATCTGATTCCGAATCAGATTCAGATTCAAGTTCAGATTCTGACCACAAAAAGAAACACAAAAAGAAAAGCAAAAAATCAATAAAGAAGAAAAGGAAACATCATAAAAAACATCACAGTAGTGATAGTGAAAGTGACTCTGATAGTGATCATCACAAAAGACGTCATCATAAGAAAAGAAAACATTAATTTGCGCCGCTTCATCATTAAGTAAATATTGAGAAAAAGTTCTGATTAATTTGACACAAATGGACATGAAGAGATAACTCATTTGGACCAATTAATTTTTTAAAAGATAATCAATTTATACATTTAGCTCTAATAAATCTACTATTTTATCTCATATATTTTTTACTGATTATTTTATTGTAATTTTAAATGTTTAACAAATATGTAACAAATATTTTCTTGTAAAATAACTTAAAAAATATAAATCTTGAAATTTACATTGATATAAAATGCAAATAATATTTCTTAAGAATTTCTTTTTGACATTTCAAGACATGTTCTCTCTAGACATGTTAGTGCAGCACGATGTAATACAGGTTCAAGCTTGTAAATTTTGTGTTGTCCCTGTAATGGATATTTTACAGGCAGTTCAAAAAAGTTATCACAAATGAATATGTAAGGACTATCAAGTTTATCATCTGGATGAAGTTTGTTGTACTCTTCTTGTGACAAAACATCAGTTACAGTAACGCAACCAAGAAGACAACCAGTTGGATATGATTTAGGAAAATACATTTCATTTTCACCCTTGAGTTTATACATTCCTTCTACATTTGCAATTTCTTGTTCATTTGGATTTTTTGAAGCAGAAGCTATCCATAGTCTACCTCTATGAGCAGTATACCATGTTCGACCTTCAGTTTTTTTTATTCCCCTAACAAGTAAAGATGCATATGGTTGATGCATGCTGAGACATACACCTTGGTCAGATATTTCTAACAAACCTTTGTCTTGGACACGGTTATTAATAAAATGATCATCTACAGCTTTTGGAACTATACCTGATTTTTGAATATGATTTACGTATATTGGACCTTCAAATTTTTTGGCATTAGAATTAGATTCAGCAAGTGTTTTGCTAATACTACTATCATTTTTATCTTGATTTCTAGTATCCCTAATTGAATTCATTTTATTGTAAAGCTCCATTGGGTCTTGTCTTTCTTCTATAACTCGACCCATCATATCAACAGATAATTTTTGATGCAGTCGTGACAGGTGCTTCATTTCCTGCATATTAGATTCCATTTTCTTCCATTTTTCACGCTCCTCTTTGGTCATCCACGTATTGGTGGATTGAAACCAATCGCTTTCATCGTCTATAACACTGGTGCGACTAGCACAATTTTGATCGAACTCCAATAATCTGTCTCTCAGCTCCAATGACTTTTGAGTCTGTTTCGCATCCTTGGGAACTTTGTACTTTTCATCGAGATAGTCAAATTCTTTAGATACACCAGGTGGTAAAGAATAGTCACTGTAAGTGACCACTTCTCCACAGAAGAAACATTCTCCTGGGCCTTCGCTGCTGCAAACAATTCGACCACAATTGATGCAATTGTTGACCAGAGGATGCTCGGTTGCCTCACAATCGCACAATTTGCGAATTATCTCGTCGGATTTGTTGCTTTGTTTCTTTCCTTGATTTTTGTTTCGCTTTCCTTTGGGAGGCATTTTTAGACTACGATGAATTCAATTTCGATAACAATCACAGATTTCGCAGTGTTGCAAAAGAAACTTTTAACACAACCAGAGTATGCAATATAAATAGCGGACACAATGTAATGAATCGAATTTTATCGACGAGCTAGACGGAGGTGTGTTGATCAACATTCACCACTGTGTAAGGTTATACAATTGAACGATAAATAAACCGATCTTGTCTGCTATCTCATTCATTGTAATAATTATTTAACAATTTCATTAAAAAAATTATAGCAAAAATAATTTCAACGATATTTTAACATTAAAAAGATTGTAAAAAAAACACCCTTAATTAATTTATTACTTAACTAGAAAGCAAAAGATAAAAAAAATCAATTTAAAATTACCCCTCGACATGTCGCTTATCGATTTTGCCGCTGAGCCAACTTCGTGCGCTGCAAAACGCGTCATCTGCTCTTCGGTGTGCGCGAGCAACGTCAGTTTAAACTAACCTAAAATAAGTGGCTTTGCAAAAGTTTTTGCTCCTAAATTTATCCAAAAATCAATCTGCAAAATGTCTGCGTGGAGAGCTGCCGGTTTGAAGTGAGTTTATTATGAACATTTATTTCATTATTAAGCTTCATCCAAATGAATTTTATTCAGAAATCTCTTCATTTCGATAAAAACGCATGCAATAATAAACTACTGCTCCACAGTTATGTAACTGTGGAATCAATCATTTTCAGCAAATATGCTTGATTATCATCCATTTAGAGATTTCCACTAATTTCGATCCATTTTTCACGTTTTGTTTAGCTACATCAATTACTCCCAAATTGCTGCCAGGCTTGTCAGGCAGGCTCTGAAAGCCGACCTCAGGGTCGAAGCTACCAAGCGCGATGAAGCCAACGTGAGATTCACACAGTGGAAGGATGGCAAACCAGCGAGTATGTATTATTCACTTTATTCAACAACAATAGTCAGACCTTTGACTAGATCGCTTACTTCGAGCATAGCTCCAGATTCTAACCAATGAGATTATTGTGAAAAATCTTGTCATTGTCACTATTTTGAAAGTTATTTTCTATTACAGGTGAAAAGTCGTAATTTACTTGGTAATGGGTTTTAGTAAGTGACGCCACAACTTTATGTTGTGGATATTGATTACTTGAGTGTTACCCATTGCGCTTATAGTTTTTTTTACTTATGCATGATTCAATGTTTTCCTTATTACAGTGTTTATTAATACGATCCGATTGAATCTATCAATAACTCAATTATTTTGCCCTGAGTTTAGAGATATTTAGTGCATGGTTATTTTGATGGTTTAGACCATCAATTTTTGCAAAATATAATCAAAAATTGATATTTTTGACAATGCTAATGACTATTTTATGATATTTTCTAAAATGTTTGTTGCATAAGCCTCAAGTGTACACAACACATTATTGTCAGTAAAAAATTTTTTATTAATATATGATTTATAAATGAATGTTGTAATCATTGATTTGTTTAAAAAAGGAATGATGTCAAGTCAGTTCTTACTTGTCTTATGATAAAAATACCTATTTTTATTTCATTTTGTACAACTTTTTTACTAATATATTTTTTCAGTCTTCCATACATGCACAATTAATAATGATTTATTTTTTTTACTGTTACAGAAAAAGACACTGTAGCCTAAATGGATCAATTCTCAACTAAATAGTGCAGAAAATATTTCAAATGTACCAAATAATTGATGTTATGATTCCATGTTACTTTATTATTTACAATAAATAAGAATTTATTCAAACTATATGTTTTTTTTTGATGAAATAAAACTATTGATCTTTGTTTCATATTATCTGCCAATCTGCCCTGAACAATGTACTGAAAAAAATTGATAATGTTGAGTAAATTGGTGAAAAATGGTCGCTTGTTATTTACTAATTTAAATACTAATAACATACCAACAAATTCTGAAACCAAGTCATTGTTACCCTCGCCTTTCATTGATCCAGTTATATCATCATTTTCTACCATTGGTAAGAACAACTTTATAAATTCTGATGAGTATGGAGGTGATATTGAATCTAATACCTATTTAATTGGTAGTGAATTAATCAATATTATTTGAATATAATGAAATAATCAACAATTACAACTAAAATATGAACACATTGAAAAAATTTTGAATATTTACCTCCTTGACAAAATATCTGATAAGTGACATATCAGTGTCATCTTTTTTCCAGCATTGTGTCATGTATGAAACAACAGGTACTGCACATCCTTCACACAGTAGATTAACCATTCTATCGATCAACATCTTCTTCAGTTCTAATTGCACTAATATTTCCAACTCATCTTGTTTACTTTCAAATAGTTTTGTAAAAATTCCAAGTACTTGAGGGTGCAACAAATGATGGCATTTAGCTACTTCATCTAACAAAGCTAAATGAATGGGACAGTGTTCAGTACATAGTTTGAAGTACGACTTTTCCATCACAACGTTTTCAACCCATTTGATAACTCCCAAACTTACTACTGGAAATCTGTTGAAAAAATAAAAAAAATTTATTTTCATGAAAGTTCAACATCTCAGGATTTGAATGTTGAATATTTACCTGATGCAATCATACAATGTATTCACTTCTGCAATAAGCTCCATAGATCCTTTAATTGTATTACATATATTATGTACCTTTTCTATTGCCTGAGATGTGGCTTTGAGGTCATCTTTATTAATTTTCTTAGGTGCATTCTTCTTGCCAGATATTTCATAAACACTAGCTGCATAAGCCAATAAATGTATGTATTTAGGTTTGTAATCAGGGTTAATTTTAACTCCTGGTTTGAATAATGCATCAATTAAAAGCTCCAAAAGCTGAGGGTTTCTGATAAGTTCTACTGGTGGTGGTTTATCTTCATTGTATTTTTTAAATAAAATAGTTATGTCAGCTGGATTAAGTGAATTTTTAGATAACATTGATGATAGAGCTTGACAAGCAGCAGGACTACTTGCAGCTCCATTTAATGCCATAGTAATTGGTGTAACATCATGATGACTACAATATTACATAAATATACTATATTATATTATCTTAAATATAAAATATTAAAAAATCAATAAATAATATTATCAAATACTCACGCTTTTTGGGCACACTTTGTAATTTCTTGAGATAATCTCTTCATAATATAACCATTTTTTGACTCCTGAGCCAGGATGTGTAATAATACTTGACTGTAGACATATGTGTGTTGACCATGACACACCATTTTCTAAAATTGAAAAAGAATTAAATATTTTCATTATTCAATTCAAGCGAACATTTCAGTTTTTAAATCGTTTATACTTACAGCGCACTCTTGAGAACTGCGTTGCCAATTTGCAGTATCTTTGAGAAATCCAGCAATAGCAGTTTTTAATACTCTTGAAAACACCTCAATCTGTTGGGCTGCTGTAGATATACTGGTAATTTCTCCTTGATAACCAGCATCAGAAATAAGCTTAATTGTAAAATTTAACATCAAGCAATCTGGATATTCTTCAGCCAGTTTATAGATAAGCGATCGCCAGGTAGGATGTACAATCATTTCAGTCAACCAATCAGGGGTCTAGAGAAATAAGCAAAAGTAAGATTAATTGACACCCTTAGAGAATTAGACATGCATCAATTTATTCAAACATACCTCTCCCTCCTCTGTGAAAATTGTGTCAGCTTTTTTTGGTTCAAAAGTTTTGATAATCATGTCTCTCAAATTATTCTCCACCATAGCTTGTACTTCACCCACTTCAACTCCAACGTCAATCAGCCATTCGGCTAAGAGATTTGTCATCTGAGCGCATGCTGTATAATTGAGAGATAGCAGCTCTATCACAGTTTCTGGATTTCCTCCAGTAGTAAAATATCTTGAATAAAAAATTCACCAAACGAATGAATCATAATCAATAAACATAAATGTGGGAAGGAAAAGAAAAAATAGTAATTACCTCTTAAGTTGTGTGAAAATACCAGGTTCCATGATATAATCAGGCGTCTTGAATCGTTCTAGACACTCGTCCAAAACTGCTTGCGGATTTTCAGTCGCTTCATCGTCGACAATGTCGTCTTTCATATCGTCCCAATGGGAATGTTCCTCGGGAAAATTCTGCTCCATGTTTTCAACCGTAAAAAACCGTAAAAAAAATAAAAACGCCAAGTCTGCACTAACACAAGATTAATTGGATTAATTCACTTTTAAAATTGTTTCAATTGTTCAATAAAATAAACGTGTTAGTGGCGACGCAGTCACTGTAAGTCTCGATAACGAGTTTTCAACAATTAAATTGCGAAAAACTGCAATGTAAACAAAATCAACAATAGCAGCACGATGATCACCGAACGCGCGGCACAACAAGTAGAAAAATATATATAAAAAAGAGAGGTTACCCCGCCACCGCACTCGGACGGCAACTGAAACAGTAAATATTGTGGAGTACGTGCTCTGGTCTGCTATCGGTTCGTTCTCAGAGCTGCGATGGCGTGGGTCGGCACAAATGTGGTATATGACAAGTCTTTGCGACTCAAAATTTTCATTTTAAATGAGTTATTTTGTTTAAATCGATCGAAACTTTTCGCGTTACAAAAATAAAGAAGTTTCACATCGATCACCTTTGTTTCTCAAGAAAAATAAAAGCTTGAATTGTTACTCATAGCTGTAATTTTGATTAATCGCGTCAAAATGTAATGCGCGATATTTTGGCCATGAATTGCGTAGATGGCGCACAAGTTCAAATTTGAGAATTTGTCACACACATCTGCCAGAACTTCGCAGCATTCGGTGAAAGTTACACGTATCGAGAACTGTTTTTTCGTTCGGCTGACACGGAGCTCTGCTCAACGTCGCAGCTAATCTCATCGTATCCACGAATTTTGTTGCATCAGATCATCACTGCATCTCGTCTCCGAAGAAATTCAAACTTTCCGCGCTCCCCCAAAGTGTGCAGTAGTGGCCAGACTGCAGTCGGTAAACTGCACAGGTGTCAGTCACATATAAGTGCATGTGTTTGTGTGTGTATATGTGTGCAGTGTAGTGAACCTCCATCATAAGAAGTCGCGCGCGGCGGCAGTATTCAAAAGGATACGAGATAACAACAACAACGACGAGTAAATCCGCAAGATGCGCCTCGACCCGGCAATTCAGCGCGAGGAGGAGTTGGCGGCTCAGCACCCCGAGCTATACCAACAGCAGCTGCAGCAGCGCATGGTGCGCCTGCGACCCGAGCGATTCATGCAGGAGGACCACCTGACCCATGCGGAGCGCGAGTGGCTGGACGTCCACTTCGGCGGCGCCGACGTAGCCCGCGACAAGCACAGCATCATCGAGACGCCGCTGCGGCTGGTCGGCACCGTCGACATGGAGGACGACGTGACGCAGTACGAATGCGTCGAGCTGCTGCGCGATCTCGCAGCCAGGAAGCACAATACGTTCGACATGAGGTACGTGTACGAGAGACATTAAACAAAACAACGATCGAAGTTTTGTCATTGATTTTGTTTCTCGTTTGTGTTTTGTCCGCAGCACCAGGAGTATCTTGCTGCAGTTCGCCGCCTTCCAGCCGAAGATCTTTCGAGCCGTTCGACCCGAGAACTCGCCGGCCAACTCGAGCCTGGGCCTGTCGATGGACTGCTGGGTCAAGTACTACGCCTTCAAGCCGGATCGTGATATGGAATATGAAGGTAATTCGTCAGTTTGTTCGTGTATGTGTGGGTAATTGTGTCGTAACGTTTTTCTTAAGCCCGAATACGGCCACGTGTGTGCCTTTCAAAACAAATATATTTATGACGCAGGGGGGGTTTAATTATAATTATAGAACTTGGTCTACGACGAAGCCTCATAAGCTTTTGGCATACGTCGAAAAAAAGAAACTTTTTTCTTATCTCGCTCGCAATTTTTTTTTTCGCATACCACACGATAAATCGATCATATTTTAGAATCATAAATTAGAGATAAAAAAATATATCGCATCGCTATTATCAATCTCGCAATTACTGACGCTTTTTTTTTACAGGTGTCGTCAAGAATGTGTCTCCCACCTCGATCGGCCTCAAGATGAGAAATGTCACCGGCCTCTACGTGAACATCGAGAGAGACTGCAATAAGCATCAGGACGAGAGTCCCAAAAAAAAGTGCTGCACAGTGACCAAAGACGAGATCGTTAAGTTCAAGTTCGTGAAGTTCGGCGTGCATCCGCACAGTGTCTTCATTTACGGTAGCATGGTATGATCGGGAAAATCGCGTGCAAAGACCGTCCCGACGTTGATCGTTCGATGGTACGAAAATTGCACGAAACTTAGCGAATTTAACAGTATTTTCAGATATAGATAACGTTAGTGTTTTCGTATGCGAGCGTGTGTGTTGCTCGATCAAAACAAATGATCTATTATTGTCGAGTCGAAAGGTGAATTGCACTCGGAATTGAACGTATACAATCAGTTTAGTGATGCCTAAGTAGTAAATTGATTAGATATCAATTCCAAAATAAAATGATGTACAGAAAGATATAAACTTCCAAAAGTTCACAAAGTGCATTTTTTGCTATAAAAATAAAAAGAATATTAGAATTTAGAAAGAGAGCATATTAATTAGATTAATTGTAAGTTTTAGAGTCTATTTATTATGTAGCATAAGTTGAAAAAAACTGAGATGATTCTATTTTGTTATAAATGTAACGAGCGATATTTGATTTTCAATGATTAGTCCGTTCTGTGTTCATTATTGAAATGTTTACCGTTATTGAGATAAGTTGGAATAAATGTTGTAAATGTTATAAATAATCATAACGTCGTTATAATTCTTTATATTTATAACAATGTTGTCACGATTATCGTACCTGCTGTTATTAAATATTTTATAGCTACAATTATTTCTGAAGCAAACACGTCAATCGGTTTCTTGCTACAAAACCATCAATCCATTACTTTGTAATGGTATGCTGAAACCGCGAATAAATTTTTCCATCATTGCTAGTTAATAATCTATTTTCATTCAATTAACATAATGAGCTTGCGCAGTGATCCGTGGTCGATCAGCGGTTAGTCGAATCACACGGACGGTAATGTATGATTTAATTTGTTACATGCATTATATTCGAAATCAAAGATTAAATTTAAGGTTGAATGATTTCGTACAGGGATTTAAAATACTAAAAGCATTGATTTTTAATATAAAATAGTTTATTTTCACATTATACATTCATAATACATTATCAATATACATTGGGTTTTCTTGAAATTCTTGGTAAAAATCGTATTGACGGTAATCAAAGTAGTACAAAATGAAAATGGATCGCGTCCCACCAAGATTATATATACAAAAACTTAATCCAAAAAAAACGCGCTCGCAAATACTTGAAATTAATTATCTTAACAAAATTATCTCCTATGAGATTCAATGATGATTATACGTAATAATAAGTAATGTAGTACAGTAATAAATCTTTGGTGCAATCGTCGTACACGAGGCAATGTAAATCGAAGCTCGCAGAGAATGTAAGGGGTACATTGATGATATACCTCGTATAAAAAAGGTAAATGGACAATGGCAGAGATATTATAATTAAACGTATGTACAAGTAGAAAAATCTAAATTCGCAAGAGCTGCTCCTTCACTTACGCGTTAATTATTATTTATATATCTAAAATACAGACATTATTAAACTCACTAGCCTCAACGTATTACTATTTTTTTCCTGTTTGTTTTTTCTTGTCTCTCTCGATCAAAATTTCGACATTTCCCCCAGAGCAGCGAACATTTTATAGATAAAATTTATTTACAATTGTATTTCCAACGATAAGTAGGAAATCACGATCGTATCTTACATTAATTAGTAGATGACTCTTCTATTATTTTTTTTTTTACTAGTCCCCATCCAACATTGACTATAATTTTCAAGCGACGAAAAAAAAAATCAAAAGGTATACAACGAAACTCGATTGTCGTTTTCTTCACACACAAACACATGTTATACATATAATTATTAATAGAGCAAGACTCGATTGGAATCGGGTTTGGTTGATCGCTGATACACATTCGCACACTTACACTTTTCACACGCATACTTGGGTATACAAATTACATTTTATATATCGGCTCACTCCCCAGGAACGAGCTCGCGGCATTGACTCGACACAATCCTAAAATTTCTTTACTTTTTACTTATTTTTTTTTTTACAAGCACTGCTGCTTCCTCTGTACCGACAACTCCGCGGATGCAACGGCCATCCACTGGTTCACGTCGGTCCTGTACCAGGTCAATCCCAAAGAGTATCTCCCGTTGAGATTCGCGTGCTGACAGTGACTGAACCACCAGCCGCCGTGATAATTGGCCGCGCAGTCGGTCGAGCTGATGTCGAGATCTCGATCCTTGGCCGAGAACCTCATGTTGTTCTGATAGTCCATGGCGTCGGTGGCGTTGCCGCTGTATCCCCCGACCCTCAACCTGTAACCGTTGTCCTCGCTGTCGACCGAGAAGTCCTCGTAATTGGCCACCCAGTAATTGCCCTCGATGTCGTTCAGTTCCACCCGCAGCCTCGTGCAATTGTCCCGACTGAGCCGATGCAGCGCCTCGTTGCCGGCCCAGAACTCGTTCATGGGCGAGCCGAAGCCCTGGGCGTAGTCGTTCCAGGATCGATCGAAGTCCACGGTGCCGTCGACGCGACGGCCCACGACGATCCAGCCCTTCCGGCAAGCGGCCAGCAGAGGCGCTCCGGGTCCGGGCGCGAGCAGGGTCAGGCCCTCCTTCTCCTGGCAGTTGCCGGGCAGAGCGTCGACCATCAGCCTGTACTCGTCCTCGACGTGCTCGAGCTCCCTCGTGAGATTCTCGACCCTCGCCACGTCCACGCCGGCCTTGACCTGCTTCAGATCGAAGTCCCGCAGCTCTTCCAGGCTCGTCTGCTGCGAGTCGGCGCGTTCCTGCAGCTTCGAGGCGCTCACGCTCAGAGCCTGAACGGCTTTTTGGAGATTGCCGAGATCGGCGCGTACGACCGAGAGATCGGCGCTCTGCTGTTGCTGCTGAACGTCGAGACGGACGAGCTCCCTTTTGGTCAGAGACTGATTGGCCACGAGGCGTTCCTCCAGAGAGGACAGGGACTCGAACATGTGGACGACGGACTGGCCGAACTCGTTGGAGACCCGGGCCGTTTCCGAGACGTTGCGTAATTTGTCGTTCACGCGGCTGGACATGGCCTCGAGAAGATTGAGACGGTGGAACATCTGCTGGTAGTCCTCGGGCTCGTACACGACTCGCTGTAGCACACGTTGACGACGACGATGACTTTTCTTGGCGTTGACATTGGCTCTGCGCTCGAGCTTGGATAGACGAGCCTCGAGACGTCTCACGGCGGTTGGTAGGCGCGAGTAGACGTGTCGCGTGTGGTGAAGCGTGGGCACGTCGTCCTCGGACGACGACGGTTGGAAGATTTCGTTCTTGAGGATCTCTCGGGAATCGTCCTCCTCCTTCTCCTCCTTGATGTCGGCGGCCGTTACGACTTGCGGTTTTTGGTTCTTCTTCGTGACTAGCTGGAGTTCGCGTTTGTAGGACTTCAGCTCGGTTTGCAGGGCAGTTAGCTGGAATCAGAGAAGAGCGAGAAAAAAATCGTTATTGACTCCGTTCAAGGTATAAAGTTTTTTATATTAAGATTAGAGGAATGAATGCGCGAGTAACGTAATATCAAATTGTAATAAAATACATCAATTAATTGGCCATATTTAAGTCCACTTCAATAAATGTTTTATGCGGTTTTCCTCTGTACTAAAGATGATTAAGTGCCATAAAGATGTTACTACCAGCTCATTGGTTAATTTGCAGTACGCGGTAAATTATTACACTTAACTTTACTCGATAAAATGAGAGACGCTCATTGCTAACTGTCACGTTTATGTGGTTTTCTTATCAATCAATTAATTGAAAAGTACCACAACAATTTTACGAGACAACCATTTCTGTACCATATAATTTAGCATTAACAATCCATATAAGCAGCTACTGGATCTAAGCACGATATCCAAGTTTAGATCTACATCTAATACACATAGGCTTTATCCCTCTGCGTCTATACTAGCTCTCTCGTGTGCATCGCGTGGCATCGTTATTATTATATGGTAAAAATAGCCCTTTTTTGCGCAAAACCGCAGTATGAGCTTATTTTTTTCCCCCTCATATATTCTCTCTTTTTCTTTGTACTCGCCATGCTGTGCACGTTATATGCACACATGCACACACGCGCGCGAAAGATAATCGTTCGATCGATTGGCTAACTTATTCAAGCGCGGGAGATTTGTTTCACTCTTTTTTTTTCTCTCCCTCTCTCTTTCTTTCTCTCAGGCAGGTTTACCCTTTGCCTGTGTACATACACACGTACGTACTGCACACTCGATATGTGCGTTACGTGGGTTAACAAAATAGTGTATGAAAAAAAAAAATGTAAAGTAAAGAATTGAGCTCGTATACATACGCGTGTGTGTCAGCTTGCATGTGTGTGTGTGTGTGTGTACAGTAACTAGAAAGGGATAAATCGAGTTTATATTTATATACCGGAGCGAGAGAAGAGGAGGCGGTGTGGCGGCAGCAGCAGCAGCCCCGAGCACGAGTAGCGCATTGATTTAGGCAGCTACCTACTACCACTACTACTACTATAGGCACACTCTTTGAATAATATGGAAACGTGACGTGCATAAAATTCGTATATATTATGCGACGATGCGATATCAGGGCCACAGGTGACACACACGCACACACATTATACGGTGGCAGACAGGGCCTCTATACGAAACATTTTTTTTATTTCATGCGCAGTCGACATTTTTTAAATTTAATTCGCGCGCGCGCGCGAGGGCGTGCGATATTAGAGAGGTGTGGAATAAAGAAATTAAAAAAAAAAATAAGTATATATACGATCGTGTGTGTGCATTTTTGACGAGGATAAATTGCACTCGACGCCTACTCTGTCAATGATACGATTGGGACGCAGCGACGACGAAACAAACAAAGCCTGCAGCGTTGAACGTCGTGTGTATTCGATTTATACATATAGGTCGATATCGTTTTGTATATAAAATTCCGCGTATGTGTGTGCGCGATTGTTATACCAATGCTTCCTATTACGAAGAATATGCATACGTAATCACGTGTAATGCATATTATTCGTTTCTCTGCAGAAGCCGCAGCAGCAGCAGCAGCAGCTCGTTTGCGATTTTAACGAAGGATCCGCAAATGTAACGCGCGTCATTCTCTTCCATTATGAATTCACACAATCGATCCATTTTACGTTATATCATATGCGTATCGTGTAATTTTGACGATATACATAACAGAAATACTCGAAAAGTATCGACTCTTTTGTGCTGCAGGAAACGAATTCGCACATATCTATCTGTACTCGTATGTTCGATATGTATCCGCGCAGAAACGGCGGTTTTTTTTTGCAATATATAAATGTAGGTAATAATGCTGCGAGGAGTCTCTGTGTTGTAGGTACGCGCGAGGAGGAGCTCAATTTCCTCAAGGTAGTGGTATGCGTGGTGGCAGTTGCTCGCGCGTGGGCATGTGTGTACATACGTGTGCATTATAATGACTCTACCTCACTGCCTCTGAAAAAAAAGGGGGGGCCAGGTGTGCGCCAGCAGGCCCCGAGGACGATGACGCCAGGCCAGTTTTATATACACGTACCAACGCGTATCGAGTCTGACCATATGTAGGGCTTATGGTCCTTCTTTTCTTTTTCTTCGTTCTTTCCATTCAATCGAGTGCAAAATTATTATTATACTATATACTCGAGCATACGCGAAAAATGTGCACCAAACGCGCACACGCGTGTAGGTGCGAATGCTATTATATACACATTTTAAAATATCGATCACGCGCGCCTACCTATCATCTGTCGAATTTTTACGCTTTATAACGAGCCAACGGAGTTGCGGATTTTGTTTCATTTTCGTGTACAAACACGAATACTGGGCATTCGTACGTACCCGCGAATAATATTACGCGTATCAAAAATTTGCAGAATTCGTTTCGATTTATCATCGCGGAGCTTGACGTTTTTTATAACGTGCAAAATTTTCAAATTGTATCGTTCGAGCTTTTTTACACGCGCGTATATCGGTAGAAACAAAAGAACCGTGAGCCACAGAAGTATCGCTTCGATATCTAGCTTATACAAATAGAATAAACAACGAATCGAAACGATGGTGATCGCGGTGAATTTCCAATATCGTGATTTTTGTAATTCGTGTAACAATAATAAAAAAAAAAAGGTAAATATCCAAAGCAAACTCTTCCCGGTTACGAGTACATTACTTCGGGAATATCGCGCGGCGCTGCAATTTTCATAAAACGACGTCCATCAAACATTCAGAACGCCGCGCACGTGCGCAACGAGCGAATTGGCCTATCCTGTATATTATATATTTTTCGCGGCTCGCGCGACTGTACTAGACACACACACACACACACACACACACAAGTACACGTGTGCTGCATAAATCACTCCTTATGACGCTTTACATCTTGCGCAGTATACACGGTTAAACAAAAAGGGCCGCCACGCTCGTACTTTCCTTTTATCTGAATTATTATCGTTGCAATTTGTCTGCCGCCTCGCGCGCGTACACGGTGGACTCGCGCATGTACGCACATTATTGTGTGCAGTGCACTTCGTTTTCTCTCTCTCTCACTCTGTATACTTTGCATTAATAAAATAATCATCGAAGAGACAAAATGATGATGATGATGATGCGCGTCCAGCGCTTGCATAAATATAGTACGCAATCATCAAGTAGTACAGCTCGTATATGCGCGCGTAAAACGTGTAGAGGAATGCAGGCGCAATAATAATATTGAGGAAATAGCGATTCGGAAGAGGCGATGCGCTCGACGCTCTCGAATTCGTCCTGTCCTATATTATAATGTTGATTTCCGCACCGATGGGCCTTTATCATAATTTTTTCACTTCCACCCCTGTATAATTCTAGTTCCCTTTTTTCTCTTTCCTTTTTTTTTGTTTTACATCCTTTCCTTATCTTTCTCTTTATTTTTCTCTCTCTCTCTCTCTGCAAAACTTATCCAATGTATAATAACAAAGGCGCGCGCGGCGCGAGTAATATAATGATAAAAAGAAGAAGCAGCAGTACGAGAAAAGGAGCTCGCTGCAATAGGAACAAGAGACGTACGTCGAGCGGAGAGAGAGAGAGCAAAAGTATCAAAGGATCGTTCGAGTCTCGAGACTCGCAGCAACCTATCAGCTCTCTTACTCTCGTGTATATATAAACGCGAACTTTTTCTAGGCAAGGATACAGGGTAGAAAGGAGCAGCAAAACTGGGAGCAAAAGGCTAGCAGCAGCAAAAGCAGACTAATAAAGGAAACGCAGCAGCAGCAGCAGCACAGAGCACAGCTGCTCGGCTCTCCTCTCTCGTCTCGTCTGCATGTATGTTATTATACCTTAGGCTACTCCTCGCGTACGCGCGCAAACCTTCTTTTTTTTCTTCTTAGTCTACGTCTGTCCAAAAATCGCAAAGTATATATGGAAGTCGAATATCGATTGATTAAAAAAAAAAAATATCCAACGTACTGTATCATAAGTTTTCGCGTCGCGCGATTAATCGTCATACTAGTTGTATGCATATCTAACACGTATAAGCTCGACGCGGCGCGGAGCAATAGATATGAGCCCAAAGCTCCTCTAATTAATGCTCAAATGCATATTGAATGCCAACGCTCGCGCTTCTCTATATGGTTTATGTGTGTGTGTATTATAGTCCAATCGCAAATTTCAAAAGACGCGTGTATATGAATCGCCTCGGCAGTTGGATAGGACGCGGCAAATATCCAATCGCGCAAGCTCGCGCTTACGTTTGTGTGTATTATACGCGACGCGCAACGCGGCTTTCGCCCCGCACCGATAACGTCGAAAGCTCGGACGAACGCGACCGAGGCAATATTATGCCGAGCTTAAGCGAGAGAATCGTCGGTGGTACGCGCAAAATTATCGAAACGGCGGCGCGCCCCGGCCTTTAATGCGCGGCTGATTTTTGGCATTTAATGCGTCGCAAATAGCCCAGCAGCAGCACGGCTACGGCAAACAGCCCCTGGGATATATACGCTGTAATAGAGGATATTTTTGCAGCGGCGGCCGGAGGAATACGTTAACGATTCTCGCTCCCGCGCGATTTTAACATAAATACCGTCGATTTATTCAGCGGGGCAGCGCGGGGCCGTGTAGCGCGGAAAGCAGCGGCAGAGATTATAATACTAATTTTCCTGTTTCTTTTTTTTTTGTTCTTTTTTTTAACTCGCAGATCCGCACGGAGCCCTCTGATTTAAATCGAATTTGCGGTATTACGCAGCTATTAATCGCTCGCGATTTATTTTCTATAATATATATGTCCGGAGTAATTGACGCGCGCGTTTAAGATAACTCGGAGCTCTCGAAACTTTTCAGAGAGAAAACTCCGATGGGGATATCGCTCGCTCGCGCGTACAGTACGCGGCCGACACAACTTTTCAATCTTTCGCACTCTTGCTCGCTCGACTCTCGTCTTTCGTGTACACCATAAAACATATAAATCT